AGGCTAATCCGGTCCTTATAAATCACAACGCAATGCTAAATAGTTAGGTTAGATTTTAGGTAAAATTTAATTTGCGTGAGGTATGTTCTTAAAAGGCACCTTAACCACTTGAAAACACACAAATATAATTATAATAGTTGTTGTTTTCTCCACTGAAGATTGAGATTAGAATCTTTCCAATCTGGAACAAAATAAGGCTTTTTTTTTTTTTTTTTTTGCAGACATTCTGCAGCTAAACGGAAGAAAGAAATCTATTTTAATAAATTGAGGTATTTTATATTTATTTCGCAGCATACATAATGAAAAAATATGTGCATTAAATTTCGTGATGGTATGTCATCATACTGCTATAATTAATTTCTGGATTATGCCAGAGAAAATTTCCTGAAATTTGGAAATATTAATATTATATGAATAACATAAAAATAATTACTTAAAAATTGAATTAGAATAATCAACGATATTTTAACGAATATAGTTATATTACATGGCTAGCCTAGATGACTGATTACTATTTTTTTATTTTACTGCAAAATGGCAAGGTATTTATTAAAAAAAAAAAAAAAAAAAAAAAGTTTAAAAAGATTTTGCGGTAAAATTCTAGTATACGGTAAGGCTTTGGCACGATTTTGAAAATTGTCGCCAAGACCAAAATGACCCGTTTACTGCGCATCATGATGTCGCCAAATCTCATTATTATTCTAACCAAAGAACGTCTATGTAAAGAAGAAAAGGTTCCATACAAGTAAAATGCTATACGCCGTTAGAATGCGGAGGAAAAATTTGCCAAGGGATTTGGCGACGGAACTTGGCGGCCAGAATTTCCCTCTCCGCGATGTGTACAGGAAATTGAGAAACACGTGTTAAGAAGAAGAAACGCTCTTTGACAAAAAGAAAACTACGAAAATCCGTTTTTAAAATTATGAGAAAAATCCACGCAATAATTTTTAAAAACGGATTTTCGTAGTTTTTTCCCCCCTGAAAATAACTAATCCATGAATTAATTTACTTGCGCCAAAAATATTTTCTTTCCTTTAGAGTTTAACCACTTGCGCTAAGACTAAATTTCACGGTTGCGGTTGCCGTGCGCTACAATATAACAAGCGGTAAAGTGTTTCATTTACGCCGCTCCGCATCTGCGAGTGCAATCCAGAGCTGTAACTCGAGAAATAAACAATCTCGTTGTAGGCGACGTGTGCACCACGTTATTTTCATTTTTGCGATAAATGCTTATCGACGTGGTGTTACATCGCTCACGGTTTGAGACAAAAGCATCTCGACCTGCGTGGCACGTCTTTTTAGCGCAAGTCGTTAATTTTAAACGATATTCATTTTATGAACTCTTGATAACGTGACCTTCGAACTTCGACACCGGTTTCGAGCTTTGGCAACAGATAGTATATCAGACATGCACAGCTGTTTCCCTCTATGATGGAACGGAACCACGTCTGTTGCAGAGAGGTTTTCCTTCTTTACAATACATATTCTTTGATTCTAAGCTCCATGGTACCGTATACTAGGATTAAACCCATTTTGTTTTATACGAGAACAGGTACTTTCTTTAGTTCATGCACTGCACATGCGATTCTCGAGAATACTGGAAACCAAAAGTTGCGGGAAAGTTGCTTTGCCTTTCTAAAAGACAATCAAATTGGAGCTGCGAAAATTGGCTATATGCCAGCTACCCGAATGACACTCACGTGATACATAATTCGCCAAAAAAGTTATCTCTTCCGACGTCGGCGCAAAAATCGCTTTTTTTGGCGGGATCGTTGTATGAACTTCCCTGACTTTTCCAGATTTTGACAAAAATACTTGAATTCCCTTACTTTTCCCTGAATATTTTGGTCAATTTTCGAATTCCCTGACTTTTCCCGGTTTTCTAGGTAGCGTGGCAACCCTGGTTTACGTTATGCAATGTCGAGTGCATGCCAGTGGCAATCCTGCGTCGATGTCGATTTAATAGTGTTGGCCCTTTGTCGATGTCGATTTAAATGCAGTTTTGGCCTTATGCCATATATCTTACCTATGGATGTATGATATAGCAAATTAAAGTAATTCTTTAATTAAAAGAATTCAATACTATCAATCTTGCGTTAATGTGTATTCACGAAGTGTCGATGATGCTCCATATCAGTTTCACATACACATGATTCTATGTGTATGTCGATCTTGTACTAGTATCCATTCTAAGAACAGTGCTGGCCAAAATTGTGGACACTTTTGGAAAATTTTATGTTTTTGAACTTTGTGTGCTTATAGAAAATGTTACGTTTCGCAAAATGCAAACTTGTATATATCATTTTAAAGAGAATTTATTACTGAATTCAATACAAAGCACAAAATTCAATTATTTGCAATACAAAAGTTATATGTACTTTAATATAAATAAAAAACACAGTTATGAAGTGGTTTGTAATGTCTAGCTTTCCTGGCCAATCATTGTTCTTGTTCTGAGAACCAATCAAATGTTAGAAGCTGACTTCATGTTTACACTTGAAACAATTCATTATTTTGCTTTGTTATGTAGAAGGAGGACCTGTTTCTTATACACTGCAATTACAAGTAGGAATTTTTGTAAAAATTTTTAATATTTAGTCAAGAAGCAATAACATCAAAATAAAAGAGTAGATTGGACACCTAGAAAGAGATGTAATATTATTGTGTTACGAGAAAGTGGTCTTTCCTATGCTGAAATTGCAAGACAGGTGGGTGGTTCAGTGACTACATCTGGAGTCCGAAAGTTTTGCTTACGATATCAGAAAACAAATTCAATAAAAAGCAAAGAAGGAAAAGGCCGAAAAAGGTGCAACACATCTATTGATGACAGAAGAATAAAAAGACTATGTCTCCAAGATAGAAAAATGTCATCAGAAGTGATCTGAATGATGATGCTGGTGTTTCTGCCAGTTCAAGAACAATCAGGAGAAGATTAACAGATGTTGGACTGAGAGGTAGAATTCCACCAAAAAAAGCCTTATCTTAATTTTCAGCAACGAAAAAAAAGACTACAGTGGGCAAAGGAACATATTAATTGGACAGATGATCAGTGGTCACAAGTTATATGGAGTGATGAAACTAAGATATCGTTATTCGGTAGTGATGGGCGAAAATATGTAAGACGTAGAATAGGAGAAGAGCTACATCCTGACTGCATTCAAGCAACTGTGAAGAACCCAGTTAATGTTATGATTTGGTCATGCATGTCAGCAGATTGTATTGGTCGCCTTCATGTCATCGATGGGACACTGAATGCCAGAAAATACATTGACACTATTCTAGAACCAAAACTTCTACCTTCCATCAGAGATCTCTTTCCCAACAATGCTTCGTTTATTTTTCAGCAGGATTCTGCTCCTTGCCACACGGCCAAAATATCGAAAGAGTGGTTTCGTACAAAGAGCATTAAATTGTTTTCATGGCCAGGGAACAGTCCTGACTTCAATCCTATCGAAAATTTGTGGCGCCGTTTGAAAACTCTTGTCTGAATGAGGCGCCCATCAAATAAAAGGGAACTAATTGAGGCTATAATTGTTTCCTGGCATCATGTAATAACGAAAGAAGAGCTTAAAACTCTTGTCAGCTCAATGAAACGTCGATGTGAAGCTGTAATCAAAAATAAAGGGTATCCTACTAAGTACTGATAACTCATTGCAATCATCACTATCTATGTATATCGATAATAATTATCGTTTAACTTTTTTCGTATTGCAAATAATTGAATTTTGTGTTTTGCATTGAATTCAGTAATAAATTCTCTTTAAAATGATATATACAAGTTTGCATTTTGTGAAACGTAACGTTTTCTATAAGCATACAAAGTTCAAAAACATAAAAATTTCCAAAAGTGTTCACAATTTTGGCCACCACTGTAGAGTCAATACTATGGCATCTCCATTGTAATGCCGTTGTCGATTCTGTACAGGGTCAATGTTATGTTGATGTTCCTGTGCGTAATGTCTATATAGTAAACCTGTGGCAATTCTGGCAAAGGCAATAAATGTTCATTAAATCTTATTCATTATACTATCAGATCAAAATTTCTTTCTTTTCTTTTTTTTAAATTTTATTTTATTGTGTCGATTAGTAAGCCGGTAACTAGTAGCAGTTGTATGCCAATGGTGATTCTAAGCTGTGTCGATCCTAAAAATGAAAGCGTTTCAAAGGTTATCACACAGATAAACGTCGAGTGATGCAATGTCTGGGTTTCATTGGAGACTCAATATTTATTCGGTGACCAATCGAATGCCTTCGAAACTAGAATGCAGTATGCATAGTTTTACCAGAAGTGTCTATATTAACACATTCCTCTGCATTTCAGACAGCAAGTCTTGGTGACATTTCCCTTGTTTTACGTAAAACGGGCATTAATTTGGGAAAATAGTGAACAAGAAAACAATCATCATTATCAATGAAATAATGATGAATTTGACGATTAAAGCTTAACAACAACGAACCAAAATAATGTGTGAATTTCATAAGAAAATCTGAGGTGAAAATTCGGAAGCTGCATTATCAGTACAAGAACTTCTTTAAGTCAAAACATCGGTTATACAGCTTTTCGATATCAGGGCTGTTAAGCTGTCCCGAGTTCCGATTTTTATGACTTGCATCATAAAACAGAAAACTAGGTAATTCATTTAAGGAGCAAAGGCAGAACTGGGTTTTCTTTAATGCGGTAGTTATTTGTCATAAAAGCATGCTTCTGAAACCTTTATTTTAATTACAGAGCTTAGATGCGCATCATTACAGTCTTGTTAGATTATTACGTTGCACTTAAACTTTTTTTTCGATTCCCACAGTCCCATTTCGAAACAAACAAAATAAAATGCACTAATTTACATAGAGAGCTTTTTGTAAAACATACACAGATTTAGAAGGGAAAACACACACACACAGTTAATCGAAGAAGTTAAAAAATGATCGATTAATATCATACATAACCAAGTTTTTTTTTTTTTTTTAAATAAAACAACAATCAATAACCTATTGTAACCCACCCGTTGCTACGGTGACACCATGACAAGGTAATAATGACCAAGAAATAGATCCGTAACTGACGTCATACCCCAGTTAGTGACAAGCAATGGGCAGGCAAAGTCGGTCACGAAAAAGTCTGTAATTTATTCGTCATTCTCTTTTTCTCCTAGCTCAGACAGAAGGGCGAGCAGGAGATTCCTTAAGAAGTTTGACGGTTCTCCACCACTTCTTATTTTACACTTAGCTGAACGAAGATTTACTCTCAGAATACCTTCGGAAAAAAGAAAATTTATGAATAAACGACACTAATACAGACATATAAGCTCTTAGCACGTAAAGGGAAGTATAGTCTAACTAGAAAATAAGACAGGAGTGCAAAGAATTATTGCTAACAGCTCGAAAATACTTTCCTCAAAATTTCAAAAATTTACATTAAAAATTACTAGTTTAAAACAAAGCATTCCATTTAAGAAAAATTAGATGCATAGCATTGTTATTTTATTTATTTATTTTAAGGAAGAGGAATCAAACTTTTAGATTCTCAATTTCATTGATTTATTCAATACACGCTCTAAAAAATTAACTTTCATAGTTAGCGGCTCCAAAGAACACATTAAGGATATAAAAACAGACTTCAATAAACGCAAAATCTGATGACAGTCTTATTTTTTAAGACAGAAATTGTTGATTTGTGAAAAGATCATAAATTTCGTTTAACGTTTAGAGATAATTTGAAAGCACAGTCAGTTGCTTTCCTCATTAAAAGCTTAATTAATTAATATTAAAAGCTGAACTCCCGATAAATAGTTTTAGTAATTCAGTACATCTTAACATAATCGCCATAGAAGACAACGCACTTCTACAAGTGACCTGCAAACTTTTAACAGGAAAATGAAAAAAATTCGGGTAAGCCATATCCCACAGATGCAGATCAACGTCTAAACACAAGGAGGTAAATCTTCATCAAATAGACACGGCACTCAACCTATCAAAAGCCACTATTCATGAACTATCATTTATGCTTAACTACGCTGCGTCGCTTATAAATTCGAGGCAGTTAATCTGACAGAAGTAAGTTTGATCAAGTTTCCATCAGCAACGCAGTTTTCAAATATAACAAAATAAGACGACTTTTGAGTGATTGATGACGAAAAACATACCATGCTGAGCAAAGCGAAGAAAAGGTAATGGCTCAGCATGCTGATACAACCTTAGCAATACCTAAAGCAAAGCGCTAACACAATGCTTGGTGGGATGTAGATGTGTATCGCATTATAACGTCTATTAAAAGTGTATCCGATCACTGGACAAGAATAATATTGGGTTGGCAACTAAGTAATTGCGGATTTTTTTTAGAAAATCAAAGACAATTTTTTCATGGAACTAAATAACTTTATTCTGTAATGTATTGCCCATTTTGATCAATGACCTTTTGCCATCTTTCAGGCAGCATCATAATCCCACGTTCATAAAACTTCTGGTTTTTATTAGCAAAAAACTGAATCAGGTACGATTTGACATCATCATGATTATTGAAATTTTTAGTTTTGTAAAGATCGAAACAAAAAGTAATCAGATGGTGCAAGGTCAAGGATGGTGGATGTGGCAAAACATCCCAACCAAGCTCCAATAATTTTTGCCGAGTGACCAAAGATGTGTGTGGCCTTACATTGTCATGATGGAATACATCTTTTCGATTTGTCAATTCGGGCCGCTTTTCTTCAACTGCATTTTTAATTTCGTTAGTTGTTCAATGTAGACATCAGAATTGATCTTTCGGTTGGGTGGTAAGTGTTCAAAGTAGATAATTCCTTTGTAATCCCACCAAACTAATAACAAAACCTTCTTTTGATGAATATCAGCTTTTGATGTTGTTTGAGTTGGTTCACCTGGTCTGCTCCAAGATCTTTTCCTCTTGATATTGTTGTAAACAACACATTTTTCATCGCCAGTTATCAGTCGTTTTAAAAATGGATCATTTTCATTACGTTTCTTTAGTTCTTTCTTTAGCAATTTTCATCGCAGCTGTTAATGCGTTGCGTTAAATGCGTTTCTTTCAGTTCGTGAGGAACCCATGTATCGAGTTTTTGAACATAGCCAAGTTGTTTTAAGTGATTTTCAATGCATGTATGTGATACATGGAGCTTCTCTGCAATCTCACGTGTTGTACTGTGACGATCCGAATCGATTATTGCTTTGATTAGGTCGTCATCAACTTCAACTGGACGACCAAAGCGTTTTTCATCTTTGAGTGAAAAATCACCAGAACGAAATTTGGCGAACCAATTTTGACACTGCCGTTCTTTTAAGGCTTCGTCACCATAAACAGCACGTAACTTTTTATAAGCTTGTGATGCGTTTTTCCCTTTGCGGAAATAAAAAAGCAAAATATGACGAAAATGTTCCTTTTGATTTTCCATTTTTCAACGAACGCCAAACGAAAATTAATCAACCGATCAAAAAACTTTTTTACTGATTGACAGCTGAATTGCCAGCTATCAAATAACAAAATGTGTTTTACATTTGTACTACGTCTGCAACTCTAAAAATTCAACTGAAGCCATCTATGAGTGAAATCCGCAATTACTTAGTTGCCAACCCAATACAATAAGTATTTGTACGTGTTGTTGCAGAAATGACTCCCGGATTTCACAAGTGAATAACAAAGCAAAGATAGGTATTATGCAAAACTTAGTTTCACAGCTGGAAAGAACAAGGGTTACTATTTTGTTTCACATTTGCAAATAACAAAACGTATCAATGTGTTGCACAGGTACAATGAAGAATATGTATATCATTTTTATCAAAATTAACAATTTGTAACAATTTACCACACTATGTGAAATAATTCCTTTTAATTGATTGTTTTTTGAAAATGATGTCGTCAAAATGTTGATTTACACGGTATAGGCATTTCTGGCATTACATTCCTAGTTATGTTTGATTGTGTTACCATGATCTCCTGTCTCATAGAATTATGGTACCCCCCCCAACAGAAAGAAGGCATGAGATTCGAGGAACAAGCTAGCTATGGAAGAGCTTTTAAGAGACCTCTAAAGAGAGATCAAACCACTTGGAAACATTCACGTAGCACGTTCTTCAATACTCGTGTGCAGTAGCAGTATCCTCTTGTAACCACACAGGGTTTTTTTTTCCAGATACACAAAGTTAAAAAAAAAAAATCTGAAAGGTTTCAGATTTTAAATTATGTACAAAGGGGCGTTTTTTTAACGTTTTTGTATGTTACATTTATTTATTAAATATCATGTTCTTTCCACTTAAACCATAAAATTCAGTTCAATAGCAATGTCGCAAAATAATTTTAAAATGAGCATATTTTTAGAATTTCGGATACACAGTTCCGCGGGCTGGAGATTAAAATTTCCCCCCACCCCCGTAGAGTGTTGCCATTGCTCGCTTTTAAATCGTTGAGGTTGTTACTCAAAAATTCGTTAAAGTTTTACAAAATGTGAAATCGATAATAAAACAAATTTTAAATTTCAAATTTAGTCTTCCACATGCTCATATTCGTAGGAGGATTACGTCATTCCAAATTCGACGGCTCTACGTACCGTTGTTTTATCACAATGCGAGAAATATACATACATTTATGCAGATTTGTCATTATTTAATTTCAAATATAATGCAGGTCTTCTAACATTTGGTGGCGACTGTTTGAAGAGTGATTCACCGTTTATATAGTGATTCAACGCAAAACGAAAACAATAGTCCTTCACAGAAACAAAGCCCCTTTGGACTTAAAAAAAAAAGTTCTTTATCTAACATCTATAGTTGGTTTATTATTTACATATGAAATCTTGCAATTAATTCTACCGTATCCTGCATTCAGCTTTTACAGAACAAAGAAACAAATAATAGCAGTTCTCCTGGTGGACATTAGCTGGAAATTCCCTAAGGAAGCAACTGTGAAAACGAGAATCTTAGGAGAATATCCGAAACGCTGGTGTTCACTTCCACGCCTGTCGAATTAATTTCTACCTTTTCGTTGCCCTGCGTTGGCAACACGCTTTTGAGATTTGTCGTTCGTAGGATTCGGTCGCTAAAAGCGTAGCTGGCCTGTAACAGTTATAATTATTATTTTATGCTTATCTGTACTCGTGAATTATTACTAAATGTTTACGTGTGAATGTTATATCATTAAATGTCTTCAGTTTGATTTAAATACACCAAGAGTCGACTGAATTTATTAAGTATAATCAAAGTCGAAACTGCGTCATCCATGTCGGCGCCATTCTAATACGAGGTACGTAAACATCATCATTTGGAGGCACGCCGACGAGATCAGATCAAGAATTCGTCAGCAGTTCAAGTACAGATAAGTGATTTTTTAATTCGATTTACATCTAAATTTGATTCTTGAAGTTTTATATCTATTTTGTATTCTTTATGATTTTGAACTTGAATACTTCGATTACTTATTATGGATCAAGCTAGAGTCATTAGATTGCGTGGTAGGGCAAAAGCGACCTTCACAAAGCTTCAGAATACTATTTCTTCCGATTTATCTAAAAATGAAGTAATTCTGCATCCGAAGCGCTTAGAAAGGATTTATTCAGAGTTTGATAAATTTGATGCTCAATTACCAGAAGAACAGTCAGAAATTGAAGATTTTGAATCGAAGTGTTTTAGTTTGAAACTTCAGTATCAAAATTTATTAGATGAATTAAATGTGCCAAATGTTACAGGAAATTCTAATATTAGTAACTTTAAGTTACCTAAGTTAAATATTCCTATTTTTCCGGGTAACTTTAATGACTGGATGAATTTTAAAGATTTGTTTGTTGCAACAGTGCATAATACTTCTTTATTGAATATACAGAAATTTCAGTATTTAATCGGATCACTTGCTGATGAACCAGCTTCTATAATTAAACATATTCCGTTATCAAATAATTCTTATGAAGAAGCATGGGCAAAATTGCTCGCTAGGTACGATAAAAAGAAACAAATCGTACAATCGTTAATTAAAACATTTATGGATAAAAAATGTATTTCACAGGTTGATAATGTTAATTTACGGCAATTAGCTGATACTTCCGATGAAGTTATCAGAGGTTTAAAAGCTCTTGGTGACAAAGCAACTTCTAGGGATCCATGGTTAATATTTATGTTGCTTCAAAAGGTAGATTCAGAAACTCGAATGTTATAGGCACAGAAAACAGCAGAAGATGATTTTCCTACATTGGAATCATTTTTTGAATTTTTAAATTTAAGGTGTTCTTCTCTCGAAATTATCATA